CCTCAGAATCTTCAGCTAACGGAACCATGGGAAGACATCCGAAGCGATAAGCAACTACTTCGTGTCCATGTGATAACGTTCGCTCACAGGCGTGCTGCTGTCGGGCCCTGCCTACAATGCCTCGCCCGGCAGGCTGGCTGTCAGTGACTGTCCGCCATCAAATGACCGATGGTGCCGAGCCAGGTGCCACGAGTCGCGGCCTTCCGGCCAAGGGCGTGCAGTGGAATACGGCCACCGATAGCGTTGGACAGACTACAAGTACACTGTTCTACCATCCGGAACGCTGGTCTACGGTCAGATGTAGCTTTTGCTGAGGCATGAACTTGTCAAGTCCCAGAGATGATGTTTTTTGGTCAACACATTGCGGGAGGCGTTGGTGTTCACCACTCGCAGATGTAGAAGCGAGGGCAGTCGAGGGCAGAGGCGGATGATGATCTTGCTCCGTAAGCGACATTCATTGGCATGACAAATTGCGCATCTAACAGGACGAGCTAACAAGTCTCTGCGTCGTGAGTTACTTCATCGAATGATAGCCTAGAATTTAGACTGTAACGCAGCCGTATCACTTTGCGCTCTCGCACAAGCAGAGTCTGCTCAGCAGACCGCGGGACTTTATGACATGAGGGTTATGTGTTATTCGAGTTTCGTGCCAATCTGGGACAATTGTCAGCCTCTTGGTTGACTCAATATCACTTAGGATAGCCATAATAGGTGATAAAGCTGCGCATCTTATCCATTCCAGCGTGAGGGCTGCCAGCCAAGCAACGAATAATGGGCGAGTAAGATTGGTACATACGTGCGTGAAAATGCTGCCTTTGTTGTGATTTCCCTCTTGGCTTAATAAAACAATACTTCAGCCATTGACAGGGATATAAGAATAGGTACTGATCTGATGCTCAAATATGCACCACAATGTCGTATAACGTTTAAAACATCATCTAGCGAGGAGAGACAAATGCACAACCTAGATCAGAAGGTCACACCAGAATATCACAAACTACATAAGGTATACACTTGTTCTGTTCTGTATCATCTCTGTTATGACAATTGTGTCGGTACTATGTGCTAGACTAGTTGTGCTAGTAGGTAATCATTAGATAGACAAGTTTAGTTAAGACTCAAGTAGCTATCATTTCCCTATGGTTAATAATCTCGCGTTAACCCAGGAGACTGGGTGTAGCCCATCATCTTGGACGCAGGCTGAGTGTGGGCCATACTCGATCCCCAAGAAATTATCATACTCAATAGTTTTAACAACATTGCTAACATCATACATACTAACCTCATCTTCATGACTGACAGCATGATTTCGACTGTCAGGTCCTCGTCCGTTCCGTGAAAAACGATAACTCCGACTCCCACAATCGGGAGCGGCATCCTGGAGATGCCAAAGATGAGCAGAGATACCGCTGCAGTCCCAAGTAAAGGACCACGACTTACATTGAGGGAAACCACGACGCTTGTTTGTATAGCTCTTCATTCTAGTTCTCCGTGAGGCTTGATAACGACCATCAACAGTGGGGACAGTTTGTGGCGTGGTGTGAGTAGAGCTAGTAATACCAGTAATTGTGATGGAACAGGTATTGAATTCACTGAATGCCGTCTGACTATCTTGGAGTCTCTCGGCCATACGTGATTCATCTTGTTATTGATGAATAAACTCTCGTGCCTTTCTTGAATTAACCAGTAAATCAGCAGGTAATGGAGTTATGAACTTAGCTATAAGCAAATCATTTCTTGGCTTGGCGTGTAACGTCAGTCCGCTAGATTTCACAGCTCTATGAGCTTAAAGGCATAGAGATGAAGACCTTCGGGTTCCGAGGGGATCGTACTCAGCATTAGAAAACTTTTCGAAAGCGGTGCTTTTTTCGAGGGCAAGCCCGTCTTCCGACTTTTGCATGGCTTTGAATAGAGTACTACTATTTTCCACAGATAGGTAAACGTCATCAATGCAACCTTCTCCAATAGAATTGGTTACTCCTTCAAGGCAGTCTCGTCGTTCCAACCAATGGTTGTCAACCATTAGTATCTTGACTATCCGCCTGTTCAGTAGACCGATTTTAAACATGAGGAGCGTTTCTAGAAACGATTCTGAGATTTTTCGTTCATAGAACCTGCTCTCGAAACGATCCCAGAAACGTTTCCTGAAGTGGTTCTTAGCGCGTTCAAAGGAACTTTTGCGCGATTCTATGACCGTTTTCACAATCGATTCCAGAACCACGTGGAGTGGTTCTGGGACCCGGGTGTCTCGGGTTCGAATCTTGAAAGGAGCTTATTTCGGAATTCAGGGATAGTCGAGGAAGTCGAGGCTGTGAGAATATCCCGCTCACTCTCTGGACGCAACTCGTTAATTCATAATGTCATCGTGATTCCAGATTGAGTACAAAATAATGAATAAACTAGCCTAAAATGGGACATTGGGTCTCCACAGATAACGGAACTGATAACAGTCCCTAGAATATACTTAGGCTCACAGATAGAGAATGTCATGGGCGTATCTTAGGAGTATCTTAGAATATCTGAAACGGCGACCAGCGGTATAGTTTATGATACGCCATTGTTGAGACTTGTCATTCATCTACAACTCCTCCATTCCCAAAATAACGACGCACATTGTATTTTGCAGACTTCCGTCGCGCAGGAGCACAGTAAATTGAGCGGGGATAGCAACAACAGTGTGCTGTCCTTTCCAATTCGGTTGGAGACTAGCTGCTGCTGGAGTTCATGGCAGCACAACATCACCGATCTTGAACTTGGCGTGATATTGAGGCCAGCGATGCTCGACGGAGTCGATGGGGACCTTCGGACTAGCTTTAATAGACTCGTGTTGGCGTTCAAGTAGAGCGCCAAGGTGCAAATACGGGTATATGCCAGCATCGTATGGATAGGGACCGACACCATGCGGCGAAGGAGGCTGCGATTGTCTGCCGCAATCTCCTTCGCTCGACCGAAGACGGATGACATTACGCTCCAGTGCATTGGCAACAGCCTTGGAGGTGGCACAGCTAAGAGGGATGGCACCAATGAAGTGGGAGGCAGCACACGTCCACGTCAGAATATAACGAAACTTCGACTGTCCAAGATGTCCGAGAGTTAGAGGTCCAACAGTGTCAACATAGATGAGATCCGTCACTTACCTCCTCCTCTCAAGAGTACCCGAGGGGGGCCGATAGAGGTGAGCAGCTCTGATGAAGGAACAACGACACCGACTGAGAACCTTCGCCACAGCCACAGCTAGGCCAGGTAGATAGAAGACGGAAGAGATGAGAGATATACACTGAGCGACGCCACAATGGGCATACGACTCCATCTATGTGAATTTTCCATATCATACCTTGTCCGTAGCGTTTGAGTACCATATAGCGGCCGTTGACTTAGACCGGCATCATTGAGTTGATACTTCCCGGAGCTGACTTGCCGAAGTTGTTGAAGCTGGGGACATTCATCTTGAGCCTTGGCTAGCCACTGCAAACAGTCGTAGTCGTCGTCCAACGTGGTGAACTCCTTGGTGCACGATGTACTACGCCACTCCA